TCTAGATTTTAGATATTTAAATTATTTTAAATAATAATAATAATGTAAATCATTTTTATAAATTTGATATTTATATTTTATGTAATAATTAACATATAACTCAAATATATAATGTGTATATATTATTATTAATGAAGAAGATAAGAAAATATATGGTGGATGCATGTGCATGGTAACAATAGTGGAAAAGATAACGGAAGTTATAACGATAGGGGTATGTTTGTCCAAAATATTTTAATGTACAACCTTTATAGCATAATGTACAAAAAAAAAAAAACTTAACCGAAAAAACGGACATAAATCAGGGGTATAACTTTCATTCACACTTATTATGTTTTTAGATATTTTCTAATTGAATGATTATTATTATTCATTAATATGTATTACTGATTATTATTTCTTTTCTACTGAATGATTATTATTATTCATTAATATGTATTATTATTTCCTAATCGGCTGATGATTATTATTCCTTAATAAGTATTACTGATTATGTTTTTTATTGAATGATTATTATTATTATTATTATTATTATTATTATTATTATTATTATTTAATGAGTATTATTATTCCCAAATTGAGTAACTATTTTTATTCCTTAAGTAGTACTGATTATTTTTTTATTTAATGATTATTATTCCTTAATAAGTATTACTGATTATGTTTTTTATTGAATGATTATTATTATTATTCTTTAATGAGTATTATTATTCCCTAATTGACTAACTATTATTATTCCTTAATAAGTAGTACCGATTATTATACAAAAGGAAACAAAAATTACTTAAAAAGTATTACTTATTATTATTATTATTATTATTATTATTATTATTATTATTATTATTATTTATTTTCTATTATTTGGGCGGAAGTGTTTGAACGGAATTGCAATAAAGGAGAATTTTGTTTTTAATAATAGTATAGATTATACAACGGATAGGAAAACATAAAACAATATATTTTAATAGAAAGAGTTATTTTTTAGGAATTGGACGGGAGGTTAAAGTTCAGGATTTTGTTTTTTATATATATTATAGATTAGAATAGAATTGTATTACACTATTTTATAATATTAAAATATAAATTTTAACCTAGAATTATAGTACGAATAGGAAAGTAGAAAATAATATATTTTTATCTGAAAAGAGATGTTTTAGGAATTGGGCGGGAAGTTAAATATCAGGATTTTGTTTTTATATATAGTATAGAGTATAGATTAAGGAAATTTTGTGTTAATGATTTAATGTATTTATATTTTTTTTTTTACTCAATCAAATAAGAAATTATTATATCAAAATAATAATAATAATAATAATAATAATAATAATAGAAAATTGTAATTTATGCCCCCTCCATAATATGCTAATTATTAATGTCACTCCTAAATTAGTAAATTATTAGTGGTGTAAATGTTACCTCTCAATTTTCAAAACGGTACATATATTGCCATGCCGTACAAAGTTCATCTTCAACTTCATCCACAAACTTTCCAAGTCAAAGATTTATGGCATTCTAGTTGATTATCCCACATTTTGATTGCAGATTTAAGAGAGCAAAAACATAAATTGAAGAAATATGTGCGCAGATTGCTAAAAGGAATCACAAATTACTTTAAATTGGAGTGCAAAACCTAAATTTCTAATTTTACCTTTCATTTTAACACCAACGTAACGCCAAAGCTAACAGATGACCATTTTGGCTTAAAATTCAAAAGTACCACTTTGGGGAAATTAAAAGTCAAGGGACTAATTTGATAAAAGTGTAAATACCCAAAATGGTCCCTCGACTATAGCTAAATTCACAAATTGGTCCTCGATTTTCAATTTCAACCAATTAAGTCCTTGCAATTTTGACACGATTTGGTCCTCCATCTATTTGACCGTTCGTTGACCGTGATCGACAATCTCCAGAAGAACCTTCAGCTCTCGTCGGAGCATGTGGAAGCCTCCAGGATGACGTTGCACCGGTTCGGAAACACGTCGTCTTCTTCGCTCTGGTTCGAACTCAACTACATTGAATCCAAAGGGAGGATGAAGAAAGGCGACCGAATTTAGTAGATTGCTTTCGGCAGTGGATTCAAATGTAATAGTGCAGTCTGAAAATGCAACCGGAACCTTAAAAAACCGACGATGGACCATGAAATTACATATATATCCTCAAAAATCACAGTCAACAAACGGTCAAATAGACAGAGGACCAAATTGTGTTAAAATTACAAAGTTAAGGACTTAATTGGTTGAAATTGAAAGTCGAGGACCAATTTGTGAATTTAGCTATAGTCGAGGGACCATTTTTGGTATTTACTCTTGATAAAAGGCCATAGTCGGAAGACCATTTTGAAAATTAACTCTTTTATATAATAATATTAAAATAACTTTTGTCAAGTCTCATTAATTGAATCAGACACATAAAATGGGACGAAGGGAGTAACATATAATGGATACAAGATGCTAATTTTCAAATTACTAATAACCATGAACATAATAATAAAAGTAATCACAAATGGACATGGACATCATCTATGGAGAAGTGCACTCTATTCATTGAGTTTTATTATTATTTTTTTTTTTTTTTGGGTATACAATAGAGTCCTTCAATCAATGTTTGAGAATAATGTGTCTGAATGTACTCTGTTTTTACACTTACTACTTGTACACATGATCTAATTTGGTAACACATATACAAGAAGTGTACTTGTATTGTTTGTAAATACTTAACACCTGCTAAAAACAATTACAATAGAGTTTTTGGGGTAGGTGTTTTCCTTGGGTAGAGGGAGAGAGTGTGAGGTGGAGAGAGAAGGAAAGAGATAGAAGAAAAACGGATGGAGATTTTTACACTTTTAGTTTCAAGATTATGGTGTCACTAACAATTTTAATCCATGACTTTTAAAATTTGTAGAATTAGTTAATGACTATGACTTTCTTAGCAAATTTGGTCATTTCGGTGCATTTTTCATTTAATTTTGCAGAAAAATTTTACTCCTATTTTAGCATGGGAGTAAATTTGCCAAAATGTGGAGTAAAATGACTTTCTTTTACCCATGTTAAAATGTGGAGTAAAATTTTCTGGCAAAAATAGAACGAAAAATACACCGAAAGGATCAAATTTGCTAAGAAAGTCATAGTCGTGGACCAATTCTAAAAATTTTAAATGTCGTAGATCAAAGTTGTTAGTGACATCATAGTCGTGATACCAAAAGTGTAAAAAACTCAAAACGGATGCCCATGAATTAGGTTTTTTGTGGGGTTAATATGTTTAGAAGGTTGGTGGCTTCGGGCTTTGACACGTGTCTCAAATTTTTTTAATAGTTTTTTTCTTACTTTTTGTTTTTCTTTTTTTTAATATTTTAAAATTTTGAATTCTATTTTTAAAATTAATACAACCACATGCATTGTAAATAGTTGTGGCTGTCACTAAGCGGCCACCACTATCTGTGAAAGAAAACATCTATGGTTGTCTAAAGAAATTGAATGTCTTTTAGATGGGCATGGTCGTCGTCATTATAAACATTTATGGCGGTTGCCGGACAGCCACTGTTGTCTACGAAAGAGGATAGCCATGGCTCTGTCACTTAATGACTATGGATGTTATTGTAGATAGTCGTGGTTGTCATCATACATCCACCATTGTTTGAGAAAGAAGACAACCATGACAGTCTAAAAAAAAAAATTAAATTTTTGAAACGGCTATGGCTATCTCATCAGATGGCCATGGGTGTCATTGTAGACAATTTTGGTTGTATTAATTAAAAAAAGAAGTCAAATATTTTTTAAAAAAATATAAAAACTAAAAAAAAAAAAAAAAAAAAAAAAGAGACACATGTCAACACAAAAAACAAAAACATGCTACACAGGTTAATTTAAAATTCAATTGAATATTTTAACCAGTTTAAGGAATTTGAACGGAAATTTGTTTTTCTTTATACTTAGAATGCTCAATTACACTATACGTTTGACTTAAGGGTGAATTTAACCCTTTTTCCTAAAACAAAATACTCTTTCTTATATAGTCACATAAGATTTACTCTTATAAAATAGGCTCCCCACTTACCATTCGCTTCCAGTAAAAAACATTAACATCATTAATGATGTGTTTTCTTTTTGTTCTTTTTAATAGAGACGGAGGGGTTCAGCCCCAAAAGCAAACTACTCGGCCAGCACCATTGATGATGTGTTGTTGAGTGCTGACAGCCATAAAATTGATATTGCAATTCCATGTCATCTTATATATTTTTTGTACTCATTAAAATAAATTAGTATTAAACAATATATACTTTGACTGATGTTACTCAGTTTCAACGCCTCCTTAGACCCTTACAGTATTTGGTGATTACGCGTCTGGATATGACGTTTGCGGTTAATCGGCTGTTGCAGTTCATGCAGGCGCCGACGAAACATCACTGGCAGGCTGCTAAGCGGCTACTTCGTTATTTCAAAGGAACCGTCTGTCATGGCTTGTTCCTCCGGGTTGGACAACCATTGTCGCTGCGTGTGTTTACTGATTCTGATTGGGGAGGCTGCACCACTGCCAGCCGGTCCACTACCACGTACTTAGTGTATCTAGGTGGTAATCTCGTTTCCTGGAAATTCGTTCGTCAGAAGTCTGTCTCTCGCTCATCGACAAATGCTGAATATCGTGCCATGGCGAGTGCAGCAGCTGAAGTACTTTGGGTTAAGCATCTGTTGTTCGAACTCAGGTTGAGTTTGGTTAAACCGCCGGTGATATTTTGTAACAACCTCAGCGCCACATACGTTTGTAAAAATCCTGTTTTTCACTCACCCATGAAACATCTGGCACTAGATTACTTCTTTGTTCGGGATTTGGTCGCTAATGGTACGCTGGTTGTGCAGCATGTCCCGTTTTCTGCTCAGCTTGCTGATCTACTTATCAAGCCGCTTGGTAGTCGCCAGTTCCTCCAGCTTCGGTCTAAGATTGGAGTCTCCGACGGATCCCCCATCTTGCGGGGGCGTGTTAAGCCAACATGTGGCTAGGATAATATTCAATTATTCTTTCTTTCTATTTGTGCTCCTATAGATTAGTCATGATTGAATAGTGGTCACAACTTCCAACTATTTTCTCTCCTGTGCACTATATATAGACTGTATTTCACATCAATAATCACAACTGATTAATGCTCACATAGCCTTTACACGCCCAACAATTCCCCAACTATCAATTGTTGGACTTTGGCCATTTACCGGCCTCCGCCCAACTTCTAATCCTACATTATTAGGCAAATTATACCGTGGACCAAGATCCACATTGTAAGATGGACCAAAGACATAAAATACATTTTTAATATACTGAACATACATTATTTGAGTACTGAATGTTCATGAACCTTTAATACTCAAGTAATGTACCTTCAAATAATGAATCTAGAGTTTTTTCCCATTTTGGTCCCTTGACTATAGCCCATTCTCAATTTTGCATTCCGACTTTTAATTGCACCCAATGTGGTCCTTTGATTTTAAAAAATTACCCCAATTTGATCCTCCGTTACATTTTCCATCAACCAACTGTTAAGTTTGGGGTTATTTTGGTCCATTCGCACCCTTCTAGGGAAATTGCAACTGCTCTTCATTCCTTTTCTCTTCCGGTCACAAATTCACCCCAAATCAAACAATTTGCTTGTTGTCTCTCTCTGAGTTTTCTGCACAACAACAACAACAATGAGTTCCTCGTCTCGTTTCCATATGTTTCACTCGATTTTTCCGTTTCCAGTTGCAAACTAGGTTGATGGGCCGGCGCCGGCGTAGAGTGCCAGAATTTCTGGCGATTTTTCGGTTTGTGAGGAGATGAAGGGAGGAGAAGATGGGGATAAATCTCCGGTTCTTGAAGGGATTGCGGCGGTTTGATGACATGCCATCATTCCACTCGATTTCGCAGTTTATTTCCCGTTGCAAAACAGGTTGATGGGCCGCCGCCGTCGCTGTAGAGTGCTAGAATTTTTGTGGGTTTTTTCGGTTTGTGAGGAAGTGAAGGGAGGAGCATTCTATTTCCCTTCGGCAAAGATGGGAGTAACATATATGTCAGAATTCCAGGCGGTGGTGACCATCGCCGATTTGATGGCCGACGGCGACCACTCGGGATGCGATAGTCTGAGAAGCGCAACAATGGTTGAAACGTGAGGCGCGGCGTGCGATGTTCCTGACAAGATCTTGAATCCCCCCACTGAAGTTGGATCGGCGCAGATGATTCTTTCTCCAGGCGCTGCAATGTCAGGCTTCATGATAGCCGCCGCAAAGGAGCTTGGTCATCTGGATGAAAAATCTGGGATTTTGGGAGTTAATGCCCTTCCTACTTGAATCTTGGGAGCCAATAGTTGAGCAGTGGGAATGGTTGACTGAAATATGTATTCCTTTATTCTTTTTGGTTTATCATATAAGCTGGGGATTTTTTTGGTTTGCATTTGGACTTTTATTTGGAGTTTTTTCTGAACGTCAAGCAATAGGATGACGATGGAGGGACGAACAACAGTTGGTTTAGGCGAGCAGCAGATGAATGGACCAAAATACCCCTGAACTTAACAGCTGGTTGATGGAAAATGTAACGGAGGACTAAATTGGGGTAATTTTTTAAAGTCAAGGGATCACATTGGGTGCAATTAAAAGTCGAAATGCAAAATTGAGAATGAGCGATAGTCAAGGGACCAAAATGGGAAAAAACTCAATGAATCTACAATACAAAAATAATGTACATTCAATATATTAAAAATGTACCTTATGTAGTTAATCAACATTTTGGTCCCCCAATTGTTTCCTAAATGTCAATGTAGTCTCTAGTTTTCAATTTCAACCAATTCGATCATCGAATTGTTTAAAATTTCGCCAATTAAACCATTTCAGGGATCAAAATGGTAATTTTCACATTTTTAAAATTTCGTCAATTTGATCCCTTAAAATAGTTTAATTGACGAAATTTTAAACAATTCAATGATCAAAATTGATTGAAATTGAAAACTACGAATTATATTAACAGTTGGGAAACAATTGAGGGACCAACATGTTGATTTTATTGTACCTTATGTTAGTAGTCTATATTACGGAGCAGACCATGATTCATGATATATTGATTTAAATTATTAGGGGAATAGGGGTAGTGCAATATAATGGCCCTGTTTGGTAAAAAATTGGCCTATAGGTCAATTTTGACTTATTTGACCACTATTAATTGTTTGATTTAGTTAAAATATCAATATAAATGTTTGGTTAATTAGCTTTTTGCAACTCCAAAAGGATAAAATTTAAAAAGCTACTCCAAACAACTTTTTCAATTAGCTTTTTAAGAAAATAAATTATACCAAACAGCTATTAGCTAATAGCTAATTTACCAAACATTTTTTTACAATCAGCTAATGTTATCAACTATTTATACCCTCAAATTAACACAATCAACTAACAACTAACAGCTATCAGCCAGTCATTTTACCAAACAGGGCCAATGTGTATTTTATATGTAACATTAATAAATTCCATATAATAACCCAATATTGTTTTGTTATAGGAATTGAACCTCGGGAAGGAGAACATTACACAATAGAGGAAATAAAAAGTGCGATTGAGGAAGGAATTGGGTTCAGTCCATTCATAGAGTGCAATGTTGATCCAATGGGGAACCACCAGGTGTACCAGGTTTACCTTTGTGTGGACTCTTCTGCAGAAAATTTCATTGACTGCCCAATTCTGCCACGTGGAGGAAGATGTGGTTCCAAGATTGAATTTCCACCTTTCTCATCATCCCCATCTTCCCATGATGAATTTTAAGAATTAATAAACTTCATTGTATTATTATTCTTTTTCTGATTCTTGATTTGGCCTTTTGGTGATATATATACTTGATGTTGTTTTTCTTTGGTTGTAACTTGAAGGAATAAATTGTGTATACATGAAGCAAACCATGTTTATATGAATATATTTTAAGATTTTTTTTCATTCTAGAAACCGTGTTTGTATAGTAGTAAAACTTATTAAATAAATGCTGCCCTCAAAGCTCAGGATAATGGTTTGCCGCCTAATTTATATCACGATTGAAGGACACACCCTTTTTACTTTTATTAATGTGTTTTTTTTTTTTTTTTTTTTTTTTTTTTTGGGAATTGGATAGTGTTGCAAAAATCGCGCTTAGACGCTAGGCGCTGGCCGGCCGCCAAACGTATCACCATAGTTGGTGGTCTAAGCAGCTGTCTAGTCGAAGAATTAGCTATTGTTTTTTTTTGGGAAAATGGCACTTTTTCCCCCTTTGTTATATACTTATAGCACTTTTTCCCCCTAAATTATTTAAGTGGCAGTTTTTCCCCTGATATATTAAATGGACATATTTACCCTTAAAATAAATATTTCATTTATTTTTCTTCTCCAACAAATTATAACCACGATTTGAAAAAATAAAATACATTAAGTGTTGAATTTATAATATTTTAAAAATAAAAAAATAAAATTTTCAAAAAAAGTTTGAACCAACCGTTCAAATAGAATCCAAAATCGTGAACCGACGGTTCAAAATAAAATCAAATCGCGATTATATATACTTATATGTGAGAGTCAATATAAATGCGGAAAAAAATATACACTATTTACAAATATTATAATTCTAATTTAAGCTATTGCTAGTAGTTGTTCCGATTTGAACCTCCGGTTCACGGTTCAGGATCCATTTTTATCCAGTTCACGATTTTAATAAACGGAAACCCAAATATTGGGTTATGTTATGAATCATAAGTTCATAACCGAAGTTTTTTAATTTGATTGCTATAGTGTTTGGTTCAGTTCGAACCGAACCGTGGTCATCCCTACGTATAAGCAATAATTTGTTGAAGAAGAGAAATAAATAAAATATTTGTTTTAAGGGTAGAAATGTCCATTTAATATTATCAGGGGGAAAAACCACCACTTCTATAATAATTGAGGGGGCAAATGTGAATGCATGAATAACTCAAGAGGAAAAAGTGCTATAAGCATATAACACAGGGGGAAAAAATGCTATTTTCCCTTTTTTTTTTTAAAGAATTATTTCACTAAAAATGACATCATTTTGAGTGAAATAACTTAAATTGTTCAAACTCTAAATATTTTATAAGTTAATATTTAATATTTTAGTATTAACTATTAAAACATTTAATAATTTATAATTATCAAGTCTTAAAAAAATTTAAAAATAAAAAATATATAAACAATTTTTTTAAAAATAAAAAATAAAAGATAAATACACGGGCGTCTGTCTAGCAAAATTTTCAACCATGAAATTGAATTAAATTTTTAGATTTGAGATGAGATATAAGGGTGTGTTTGGAAACCTGAAAAATGATTTCTGGAAATCATTTTCTGGGTTTTTGGTGTTTGGCTGTGCAAGGAAAATGAAAGTCAAAGGAAAATGTCACATAGTCAATGGATAATGAGGCCTCTTTTCCGGAAAATGACTTCCCCTTTTTTTTTTTTGGGAGAAGTCATTTTCCATTCTTTGTTCTCTCATCTTCTGGCCAGAAAATTTCCGCGACTTTCACCAACACCTATTGCGCATTGTTCTCTCCTCTTCGGATTTAGTTTCCAATTTGTGGCTGTACGTTTTTTGACGAACAGAGTTTTATCTACTGCTCTCTGGTGTCCGACCGGACACTAGAGAGCCGTGCTCCTTTGATTTCTAGCCGGAAACCAGAGAGAGATTCTCTCTGGTTTCTGGCTGAAACGAGAGAGCACCTGCTCTCTGGTTTCCTGGAAACCAGAGAAGACGGGCGGTGCTCTCTGGTTTCCGCCGTTTCTTTCTTATATATATATATATATATATATATATATATATATATATATATATATATATATATATATATATATATAACTTTTTAATAGATAATATTATTTGATTTCAAAAAAATAAATATTTTTATATTTTAAACAAAATAATTAATTAATTATATAATTCTACCTCATTTTTCATAAAATGAACCAAACAAACAAAAGACAGTTTTCCGTTGTGCAGCCAAACACGCGAAAGGAAAATGTTTTCTGGAAAATAACTCATTTTCCAGAAAACATTTTCCACAAGTCATTTTCCTGCTTTCCAAACGGACCCAAAAGATTATTGGTATATTTATTTTCCTTCAATCGTTATACCGTGCAACAGGGTGCACAGAGCACTGTGCGCACCGCGCCTCTCAAAACGACGTCGTTTTGTTATGTTGTTAAAAAAAATCCCCTGTTCCGAATGCACATAAACTCATAATAGAATATACATAATCTTATAACAGAATACACATAATCTAACATAATACATAATACACATAAACTCATAACACAATACACATAAACTTTTAATTGAATACACATAATGGGTTTGGTTAACATAATACACATAAACTTTTAACTGAATACACATAATGAGTTTGGTTAACATAATACACATAAACTAATAACACAATACGCATAAAATTTTAACTGAATACATATAATGAGGTTTGATCTGTTCGGATGGACGAAGTGATGTCAGTATGAAAAGCGTGCGTTTTGTGCCTGGACGCACATTGCTATGTGCGCCATGGTGCACGATATAAATTGCCATTTTCCTTCAATGTAATTAATTGCATCTCTTAAACCAGGTTTTAGGCCCAATAAAAATTAGAAGCCCAAACATATTCTTCGTATTCGTGGCCCACCATAAAAATAAGAGCAATTTATATCACGGACCAGGGTCCACATATCATTGTGGACTCTGAATCAAAACGACGAGGTAAGAAATTCATAATTGTAAGGTACAGAATATTATAACACAAGACATAAAAAATCACAACACAAAATACATACACATGTATGTTATATATTTACTTATTTTTCAAATCTCTTAGCTTCATCCTTTATACACATTAGATTTACAAGAACTCTTTATATATCTTGTATACATAAAAGATTGAATGATGAAGAATAATAAGATTGATTGGTTTCCTCTCTCTATTGCTTGTCTTCTCCCTTACTTTATTACATACCATTATATATTTATATCTATTGCACTCATGAAACGAGAACGAGACAAAGAATCATGCAAAGAAACACCTTAATTAATTTACAACAAATACATACTAAAAGCATGGAAAAAACGAAAATCTTAATTGCTATTTAGCTCCAACTTTTGTACCCAACAAAATCACAATCTCTTTAAATTATTTAATACATTGAAAATTAAAGTTGAGAATACAAGCTAGCTTTCTTAGAATATCAATAATGATGAAAGTTGATGTACTCCAACTTAATTATTAGCACACTCATCAACATAATATATATCTTCCAATCATAGTTGCTTAATTATATATCCCCATCCCACAATTCCTCAACAGATTTGTATGGTCCATTTGAATGAACAAACTCCTCTCCTTTAAATCCTCTGCACTGTGGTAGTTGTTCAATCTTATCAATTTCTTCATCATTCAGTTCACACTCATCATCAAAGATATGAAGGTTTTCCTTCATCCTTTCTTTGTTAAAACTCTTCACAATCACACTTGCTCCTTGTTGATATACCCATCTCAAAGCGACCTAAAATATCAAAATTATATAGATAAAGTGTTTGGTAAATAACGGTTAGTTGTTAGCTGATTTGGTTAATAGGTTTGACTAGCTAATAGCTAGCATTAGTTGAATGTAGAAATTGCAGAAAGATGTTTGGTAAATTAGCTGATAGTTGATTATATGCAAAAATGATTTTTTTCAAAAAGTTGTTCGAAAAAACTGCTTTAACAACTTTTTGAATTTTAGCATTTTGAAACAATAAATTGTCACAAAAAGCTAATTAATCAAACACGTACTCATATTGGCTATTTAACCAAGTTAAACAACTAATAGTGATCATTAAATAAGTTAAAATTTACTGATAAGCTAACTCCGTTACCAAACTGGACTATATATTCCATAAAAATGAGATTAAAAATTAAAGCATGTGTTCCATCTCAACCAAAAGACTATGCTGATAGTTGGATTATATATATATATATATATATATATATATATATATATATATATAGTCAAGATTAAGAAGTATTTACCTGTGCAATGGTGTTGTGCTTAGCTTGTGCAATATCCTTAAGTAGTGGGATTTCCAATATCCCATGGGAGCCCCAAAACCCAGCACCTAAATTCCCTAGAGGACTCCATGCGCTAATATGAATTCCTTTCTCTCCGCAAAACTTTAATAAGCCTCCTTGCTGCCATGCAACACTCATCTCTACCTGCCAAATATATATATATTATATTATTCACTTTTTTCTATAACAATAAAATGGGCAGGTAAAGAGTATTCATATATTCACATCAGTCCCCTCAATTATTTAAATGTTATGATTTTTTTTTTCCTTTTATGTAAAAATGAACATTTTTACCTTTAAAAATAATGATAAAATAAATATTTCATTTATTTTTCTTCTCCAACAAATTATTGTTTATATGTGATAATCAAAATAAATGCTAAAAGGAAAAAAAAAACTATTTTCAAATATTATAATTATAATTTTAAGTTAATGCTAGTAACAGAATTAAGACTTAAACACAAACAATTCATTAATGCTATTTAGCATTAATGAATTGTTTGTGTTTAAGTCTTAATTCTGTTACTAGCATTAGCTTAAATTGATAATTATAATATTTACAAATGTTGTTGTTGTTTTTTTCATTTATTATTATTCTCACATAATTAATAATTTATTGAAAAAAAATAAAATAAAATACCTACATTGCCCTTATTTTTAAGGAAAAAAAAATATCCATTTAACAAAAAAAGGGGTGACTACATCAATAATTTAAGGGTGAAAGAGCAACATATAATTCAAAGGGAAAAAAGTATCATTTTTCAAGTCTTAATCCATTAAATATTGACCATGTTTGGTAACATAACAGCTTATCAACTAATTTTGACTTATTTAACCACTATTAATTGTTTGACTTGGTTAAACAATTAATATGAGTGTTTGATTAATTAGTTTTTTGTAACAACTTATTGCTCCAAAATGCTAAAATTCAAAATGTTGTTCAAAACAGCTTTTTTGATCAGCTTTTTTTTAAAAAAAAAAAGTCATTTTGCATGTAATCAGCTATCAGCTATCAACAAATTTATCAAACACTTTTCTACAATCAGCTAATGTTATTAACTAATCAAACTCACTAACTCAATTAGCTAACATCTATTTACCAAACATTCTCGTTAACTTTTGTGTATTCAAAGTTACAATATAACAATACTCTGTGCCTACCAAATAAATAAATAAATACCTGATTAACAGCAGGAGGAATGGTAGCATTGTGGAGGAGTTTAGAAATCTTAGTTGAAGTGAAGTTAGACACACCAATGGACTTAGCCAAGCCCAAGTTGTGACACTCTTCCATCCCTTCCCATGTCCCTTTCATGTCAAAAGGAATGATGTTTTCTGTTTTAATCTCCAAGCTCTCTTTGGCATCCTTCATCCTTAGTGGCCAATGTACTAAATATAAATCCACATAATCTAGTCCCAACCTCCTACATATTACAAGAAAGAGTTAACACCATCTGGGGTCTTCTGAGTATAGTGTTCTACCACATTTAATTCTAAACTTTCTAATTGACCACAATTGATCTTTCGACTTTTAAATTGTTACCATTTGTGATCCAATGTTAATCACCCATGGTCCTTCAACTATCAAATTTTAACCACTCATGGTCATTCCAGGAAGACCACAATTGTACTAGTTAAAATTTAAAAGTTGAAGGACCATGGGTGGTAAACTTGGACTACTAATAGTAACAATTTAAAAGTCGAAGGACCACCACGGGTAGTCAATTTGAAATTTTAGAACTATATACATGTGGCAAAATCACTATACTCAGAGGACCTCATATGACATTAACTCTTACAAGAAATTTAAAAAAGAAAAGTCATAATACATTTCTTTTAGTACTTTAACTCATCACAAAATTAATGATATGTAATGGTTACAAAATGGGACGGAGCTGAGGGAGTAATAAACTTCAACAAGTAATTCCTAATTTAACAATCAAATTTTTGAACATTTCAACAAATATGCACATAGTATATTTTTTTGAAAGTTACTGGCTCTATTACATTGTAATATCTGTTCATATACTTTCTCAACCTACTGAAACACAAAGAACCAATAACGCCTTCACTAAGGCTCGAACTCAAACATAGTATAATTTAATGAATAATACTACATGTAGTTTTACTTTTATTCTATTTTTATCCTTTTTGATGTTAAATACCTTGGTTGATCTAGAAAATTTACCAGTAATTTTATTTTTTAACTTTACTTTTCTTCTAATAAATCAAGACATGTACTAAAAGGTTTATATACTAAAAATGCACTTGATTGTCATTTTTCATATTAGTATATATTCTCATTTAGCCATTAAAGTTAAACTCCTAATCTAACTCTCATAGTTTGCTTGAATCCTTTTTATCTCCTGGTATATACGCAACGCAACCTTTTTTTTTTTTTTTTCCAGCAAATGAAAGGGAACTATAATTGAATTTTTTTTTTTTTTAAAAAACATAATAATGGATCTGACTGCGTGAGCAGCTCAGTTGGTTCTTGGTGATAAATGTGAACAAAGACACAGATTGAGCCCTGACAGTCGAGTTACACTCAATGTGATGAGCTCTTGTGGATACCATACACTGGTCCGCATACGCCCACTTAATAAGTGGCTGAAATACCGTGCTATCATCTTGTCGGGTTAGGGTGTGAGAGTCTTTAAAGGTAAGGAAATTTTGTTTTTACAGGCAAAAAAGTTAAAGTATCTATTATATGTTTAATTCCTAAATCTAAGGACCCCTCACCCCCTAACAGAAGAATAAGTAAATCTCAAGACTTAGATCCTCTTCTATTGGGGATTCAAATCCAGATATTTATTAAGTCATTACCCACACTTTACATTTTGACCACTGAGCTATGTACTAGGGACAATCGATGGGTGAGATGGATTAATTCATACTAATTAAAATCATGAAAATTAGACAAGCAAATAAATAATTAATGTGACAGATATAACACTTCCATCTAAATTCAAATAAGAAAATACTACTTGTTTGGACTCTCAAGTTCTACACTCTATTTTTACTGAGGAGTAAAAATATGGAGTAGAACCTGAGCGTCCAATTGATATCCTTGAGACCTACATGAAGATAACTTATCTATATCTTGTAATAGAACTTTTTCAAATAACATGGATCAAATATTATGTAACATATATCATTCAAATGCAACTTTAATATTAGGGTGCATTTGAAAATTCGGAAATTGATTTTTAGAAATCGGAAGATGATTTTTGAAATCATTTTTTAGGTTTCCAGTGTTTGGGCTATAGGGGAAAGAGGAGAAAAATAGAAGTCAATGAAAAATAAGAGTGTGGTTAATAGAAAATAGAGGCGATTTTCTTGAAAATGATTTTTTTTTTGGGAGGTTATTTTTCGTTTGAAGCAGAGTAGCAAGCAAACACTCACCGCCGCCACCACCACCACCACAATCATTGTATATTTTAAATATTTAAAATTAAAAATAATTATACTAATAAGAAAATGAACCAAACACACCAAAACGATTTTTTAGAATACAACCAAACATTGAAAATAAAAATATTTTCTGAAAAATGACTCATTTCCCAAAAATTATTTTCATGCTTTCGAAAAACACACCCTTAATGAAAAACTCCAAAATCAAAAAGTACATACCCCAGCGATCTCTTGAGTGCCGGAAGGACAAGATGACGGTCCGTTTCGGTGATCCAAAGCTTAGAGGTGATGAAGAGTTGGTCGCGGCCGGAAACAAGGCGGCGTTGGATTGCAGCGGCCACCGCACGGCCCAGGGCCTCCTCGGAGCCGTAAGCGGCGGCGGTGTCAAAGTGACGGTACCCGATCTCAATGGCATGAATGAGAGATGATATCAACTCGTCCTGGTCTGGAAGTGAGGGAAACGCAGTTCCCATAGCTAAAACAGGCATTTCATGGCCGGAGTTAAGCTTCACTTTTGGGACTTCAATCACTCCCTCCATATCTGATCTTAGCTAGCTTCTAAATGATAATTACCTATGCTTCTTGTTTATAATTAAGAATCTGTTGCTTTTCAGAGGGATGAATATAGGCATATATACAGCCAAGGTGATGGCAAATTATGCTGTGCATCCGTATGCACCATGCAAAAACGACGTCGTTTCATTAAAAACGCGCGTCTCTCTTTAATAAAAAAAAAAATTCAGGTTCGATTCTCAGCAACAACATATGAACTAAAATTCCAGAATCGGTAAACTATAATTCCAGAATCGATGAACTATAATTCCAGAATCTAATCTATAAACTAAAAATTCCAAAATGAATGAACTAAAATTCCAGAATCGATGAACTAAAATTTCAGAATCGATGAACTACAATTCCAGAATCGATGAACTATAATTCCATAATCAATGAACTAAAATTCCATAATCTATGAACTAAAATTCCAAAATGAATGAACAACATAATGCTGTTGCTGGGAATCGAACCTGATTTTTTTTTTTTAAAGGAGACACGCGTTTTTAATAAAACGACGTCGTTTTTACATCCGTATGCACCATGCATGGTGCATACAGATGCACAGTATAACTATCCCAAGGTAATGACCACCGCGAAAAGGACGTCCACTGTAGAGGGCTTGTTTGGTAAATGACAGATCCGCTAAACAAAGCCAGGCCAATACCTCCAAACCACTGTCCAATATCAGTCCAATATTATTTATAAAGTTGCAGGAACTTCTGTGAGAGTTCTGTCCAATATTATCACTTTATTCAACTTTTTGTACTTTGTTAATGAAATTAAGGATTTTTTTTAATGATTTAATGATTTAAGTTGGAGAATTTTTTACTCCTAAATTAGTAAATTATTAGTGGTCACTACTACAAAATTGGAAATATAAGTAATACTTTGCACTACACCTTTCTTGAAAAAAAAAAGAGAATTTTCCGAAACACCAATTACAAAGAGGTGCCTCGGTAATATTATTATTATAATAATAATATACACATCCGCGTCACCCAGTGAGAAAAGGTGCTCCGAATATATTATTATTATAATAATAATTTTGGAATTCAAGACACTTGCTTAGACCAGAGCCGCGAATATAATATTATTATTATAATAATATATTGGAATCCGAGACACCCGCTTAGACCGGAGTCGCGAATATAATAATAATAATATTATTATTATAATAATATATAATATATAATATATTAGAATCCGAGGCACCCGCTTAAACCGGAGTCTCGAATGTCCACTCAAAATTTATCAGGGTATGGTAGATCTAGATCTGAGATCTGAGATGTAAAAAAGAATTCACACTCCGTAAAATAAAAAAACTCTAGCATTTCCCACTCCGTCCGCCACGCTCTCCGTGCACGCCCTCCGTCCGGCTCGCCACATCTTCGCCGCCTCACCGCTTCGCCGCTCGCCGCTAACCGCCACAGCAGCGTCGACGGTAAGTACTGCGTTTTTTTTTTTTTTTTTTTGAATTTATTTCGAATTTTAATTATTTGATTTTTCTCCTATCTATTTTGAATATTATTGTATGGCCATCAGAAATTAGATAGTACATTACCTTGAATTCATCAACTGAAAGATAGTTTGATTTGAACAATTGAACATCCAGAAAATGAAAGGTGAGCAAAGAAACTGGGATAACTGATAAGAGATTAGACTTTGAATTGCATTTTATATTAGTATATATACTTACTTTTGTTGTCTATATTCAACTAGATCCGGTTGGAACTCTAACTTTAGAATTTGATGATGGGGAGATATTTCAGTGGAGATAGAGTGCATTCTTGCACTGTATGGCTTATTCTGTTGAAAAGTAAACACTTGATTGGATTATTCATTTTTTCACACAGTGCTCCTTAAAATAATTTGTAATATTGATGTTGTGTTCAGGTCACAACAAGCATTTATAACCTTAGGGAAACAGCCTCCTAAGGATTTTGAATGTTGCTGCTTTTGCGGTGTCTGGATATGCTTCCACAGAAGGTCAGCACTGCAAACCCTTCAATCCTTTGCTAGGAGAAACCTATGAAGCAGATTATCCAGAGAAGGGAATCCGGTTCTTCTCTGAGAAGGTATCTTCGTTGAGAATTCTTGGACTACTGAGTAAATAAAACATGTCTGAGCAAACCAGTTTTGGAATATCTAGAGATTTCCTGTTTTCACAATATGCTATCTCTTCATGATGTTCTGACTTCTTTACCATAAAAATTTGGGTAATACAAAAATACTTGACTTACATGATGGAATATGGATAGAAAATGAATTTGTTTGGTTCCCTAATGCTACTATTTCTGTTTGAGCCATCTGGTTTACAACTTCAATGTAATTTCCTTATGATGGCAGCAGCTTGTCAGCTTTTCATTAATTTCCCCTCTATCTATTTCTTTACTCTTCCAATCCCTCCTCCAAACTTATATTTCACGCATTATGTTTCCCTGCTAGGAGTCATCTTGTGTTGGTCTCTTTTTTTCTAGTATCTTTTTCATTTGTGGGAGGCTTCTGTGGGGGGTTTTTGTTACATATAAAGGCTGTATGTTGAGTAATGCATATTTGCGTTGAATTAATATTACGAGTAAAAATGGCCATCAGAAATTAGATATTACATTACCTTTAATGCATCAACTGAAAGATAGTTTGATTTGAACAATTGAACATCCAGAAAATGAAAGGGTGAGCAAAGTAACTGGGATAACTGATAAGAGGATTAGACTTTGAATTGCATTTTATATTAGTACACTTACTCTTGGTGTCTATATTCATGCTAGTGAATTGTCAAAATATTGAAACAGGTTAGCCACCACCCAACACTTATTGCCTGTCATTGTGAAGGTAGAGGCTGGAAGTTCTGGGGTGACAGTAATCTTAAATCTAAGTTTTGGGGGAGATCAATTCAACTTGATCCGGTTGGAACTCTAACTTTAGAATTTGATGATGGGGAGATATTTCAGTGGAGTAAGGTATGCATAGAGTGCATTCTTGCACTGTATGGCTTATTCTGTTGAAAGTAAACACTTGATTGGATTACTTATTTTTTTTCACACAGTGCTCCTTAAAATAATTTGTAATATTGATGTTGTGTTCAGGTCACAACAAGCATATATAACCTTATCCTTGGCAAGATATACTTTGACCACCATGGAACAATGCATATACATGGTAATCGCCAATACTCATGCAAACTCAAATTCAAGGAGCAATCTCTTCTTGAACACAACCCCCATCAGGTAAGGGTGGAGATTCATTAAAATAATTGATTCAACTGGTTTTCTTTGAGTATATGTGCATATTCACAGGGTGTTAATTTTGATCGAATACCACTTTAACTAAAGTACTTTTTCTTTGGGTGAGTTTATCTGCATTTAATTTATCTTGTAATCAGAGTAACTTAAACAAACAATAAGTTTACAGGTTCATGGATTTGTTGAAGATAATGCGGGCAAAAAAGTAGCTACACTATTTGGCAAGTGGGACGAGAGCATGTATTATTTAAATGGAGAGTGGAATAGCAAGCCAAAAGAATTGTCTGATGCATCCTGGAAAAGCAATCAGCCTCCCCCGAATCTCACTCGATACAACATGTCCGCTTTTGCAATTACTCTGAATGAGTTAACACCAGGATTGCAGGTATAATGATGCTGTAACTAGTTATTATCTGCAATGTAGCTTCCTCAATACATATATAGAACTAGTTATCTTTTATAGCTATATATCTGATCATTGGTATTTAATCACGGATAAAGGAGAAGCTCCCACCTACAGATTCAAGACTTAGACCAGATCAGCGATATCTGGAGAATGGGGAATATGACTTAGACCAGATCAGTTTTTCTTAACTGTATCTCAATTTATTTACTGATTGGTAAAGTTTAATGATTCGTAGATTGTTTTATTTGTGAAGAAACAGTTGATTAAACAAAAGACCATGAAGCATAAAGATGAAGATGGGAAGCCCTTAACTCACCTGAATAAAAGTTCCAGGAAGGTCCCGGTGGTCCCTTAAACAAAGGACCATGAAGTTCTTGGTCTGAAGGTGCTAATTGGTTAGTATTGGTTTGCACTAAGGCAATGCGACATTATGGAGTAGTTAGTGGTTTGTATAGGCATTATGCCCTTGTGGGGTGACCACTTTTGGGTCACATGTAAAACATTGTTTTGGTGGCAATGAATAGCTCCTTAAAAAAATATTTTTTTATTAAACGTTTCCTTTTGGCTGTAATTTTTTCTTTTATATATATATATATATATATATATATATATATATATATATATATATATATATATATTTATTTATTTATTAATTTATTCTTAAAAAAAATTGTAACTTTCCGAGGCACCCACCTGTAAGTGGGTGTCTCGGAAACAAATTAATAAAATAATAATAAAGGACTATCTGAGGCACTTGCAGCGAAGCAGATGCCTTGGAAAGTCCATATTAAAAAATTAAAAAAAATCATCCTCCGCTTTCCGAGTTACCCTTTACGGGTGACTGGAAAGCGGAGGACTTTCATAGTCTCCAAGATCCGAGTCACCTGTACAGGTGACTCGGAAAGTGTTTTATGGGAGACTCTAAAACCTTTTTTTGTACTAGTGGGTATAAATGTTACCCCACAATTTTCAAAACGGTACTTATATTGCCTTGCCGTACAAAGTTCATCTTCAACTTTATCCACAAACTTCCCAAGTCATCCACAAACTTCCCAAGTCAAAGATATTATCCCACATTTTGATTGCAAATTTAGGAGAGCAAAAACCTAATTTGAAGAAATATGTGCGCAGATTGCTAAAAGGAATCACAAATTACTTTAAATTGGAGTGCAGAAACTAAATTTCCAGTTTTACCCTTCATTTTAACACCAAATTAACGCCAAAGCTAACGGAGGACCATTTTGGTTTAAAATTCAAAAGTCGGATGACCACTTTGGAGAAATTAAAAGTCAAGGGACCAATTCGAGAAAATGCTATAGTCGAAGGATATTTTGAGAATTAACTCTTTTATATAATAATATTAAAATAACTTTTGTCAAGTCTCATTAACCGAACCAAATACATAAAATGAGACGGAGAGAGTAATATATAGTGGATACAAGATGCTAATTTTCAAATTACTAATAAACATGAACATAATTATAATAAAAGTAATCACAAATGGACATGGACATCATCTATGGAGAAGTTCACTCTATTATTTTTATTTTTTTTTTTTGATAGAAAATAGAGTTCTCCAATCACTATTTGAGAATATATCTGGGTGTACTCTATTTTCACACTTAGTGCTTGGACACATGATCTAATTTGGTAACACATATACAAGAAATGTACTTGTATTGTTTATAAATACTCAACACCTGCTAAGAACAATCACAATAGAGTTTTTGGGTATGTGTTTTCCTTGGGTAGAGGGAGAGTGTGAGGTGGAAAGAAGAGAAGGAAAGAGATAGAAGAAAAACGGATGCCCATGAATTAGGTTTTTTTGTGGGGTTAATATGTTTAGAAGGTTGGTGGCTTCTGGCTTTGACACGTGTCTCATTTTTTTTATTTTTGTTTTTAGAAGTTTTTTTCTTACTTTTTTAAAAAAAAAAAATATTTTAAAATTTTGAATTCTTTTTTTTTTTAAATGAATACAACCGCATGCATTGTAAATAGCTGTGGTTGTCGCTAAGCGGTCACGACTATCTGTGAAAGAAGACATGCATCTATGGTTGTCTAAAAAAAAAATTGAATGTCACGGGCATGGTTGTCATTATAAACATTCATGACTGTTGCCGGACAACTGCTATTGTCTGTGAAAGAAGATAGCAATGGCTCTCTCACCTAATGACCATGGATGTTATTGTAGATAGTCGTGATTGTCGTCATACAACCACCATTGTTTGTGAAAGAAGACAACCATGACAGTCTAAAAAAAATCGAATTTTTGAAACGGCTATGGTTGTCTCACGAGATGGCCATGGGTGTCATTGTAGACAATTTTGGTTGTATTAATTAAAAAAAGAATTCAAAAAAAAAATAAAAAAAAATGTATTTAAAAAAAAAAAACACGTGTCAACACAAGAAGCAGCAACATGCTAAACAGGTTAATTTAAGATTCAATTAAATATTTTAACCGTTCAAGGAATTTGAACGAAGATTTGTTTTTCTTTTTACTTAAGGGCTCGATTACACTATCCGTTTGACTTAAGGTCACTTTAACCCTTTTTCCTAAAACAAAATACTCTTTCTTATATAGTCACATAAGACTTACTCTTATAAAATAGGCTCCCCACTTACCATTCGCATCCAGTAAAAAACATTAACATCATTAATGATGTGTTTTCTTTTTGTTCTTTTTAATAGAGACGGAGGGGTTCAGCCCCAAAAGCAAACTACTCGGCCTGCACCATTGATGATGTGTTGTTGAGTGTTGACAGCCATAAAATTGATATTGCAATTCCATGTCATCTTATATATTATTAGTACTCGTTAAAATAAATTAGTATTAAACAATAAATAGTAAAATAAGTTTTAAATTTTAAAAAGAAATGTCAAAAAAGATGGCCAACCGGCCGGCCATCTATTTTTTGTTTTATTTTTTAGCTTATTTACAGAATATTATTTATCAATTTAATTTTTGTAATTTTTTTTTTGTGTAATGAGAAAAAATCACAACTACTACGTGAGGATGTGTACTGACTAAATTTCGCTTTATGATCTTAATTGGCAAAGAATTACAAGAAGGTAAACCAACTTAGAGCAACACCATTAGTGCATTTTAATGAGTTTTTTGTATGAGATGGAAAAGAGAGAATATGATGTGGAGGAGAGAGGAGAAAGATGACAATAGATTTGCAGTTATTTTTTATTTTTTTGCCTGCACCCGACTAAATCTCCGTTCGCTCTGAGAAGCACAGGAGTTGGCCCAAATGGAATCGTCACTTGTGGAAATCGAACCTGGGTTATCTCGAAATTTTTCCCACAAACTGGGTCGCCTTCTCCAGTCACAGGAGAAGGCGACCTGCCGTGAAAGAGAAGGCTTCTGGGTCGCCTTCTCCAGTTGCCGGAGAAAGCAGCCAAATCATACGGGTGAACGTTTCGCCGGTTTTTTTGCCGGAATGTTATCGAAATCTCGCCGGAACCCTTTTGAACTATAATTGTAGATTTGTAGGTCACCAACCAGTTTTTGGACCTCATTACTCTAAAATAATATGTTTAAGGGCTTAATTGCACCTTTTGAAAGTTCAAGGACCTAATTGACTATATATATATATATATATATATATATATATATATATATATATATATATATATATATATATATATATATATATATATATATTCACGTTTGGTTGATTTTCGACAACCGACATCGTATCATTTATTTATAACGTGGTCGGAGAGAGCGACGTCACAAAATTAAATAACTGACGTTGTATGTCAAAAATAACTGACGTTAAAAGTGTTTTTGTAGTAGAGAAATATACAAACATGTATTCAAATACAATGTTTTTCCAACCATTGTGAATTGGTTATATGATCTAAAGAAGTCATTTTTTCAGATGTCTCCATCCCAAAGTTCCTCCACTGATTTGTATGGTCCATTTGAATGAATGAAAACATCTCCTCTACATCCTCTACGCTGAGGTATTTGTTGAATCTTAGCAATTTCTTCCTCTTCAAGTTCCCAATTAAAGATTTGAAGGTTTTGCTTCATCCTTTCTTGGTTAAAACTCCTTACAATTACACATGCTCCTTGTTCATATACCCATCTTAGTGCAACCTACATACATAGGATAAAGAAAATTAATATTTACCGCCGGAACATAGCTCAGTGGTTGAAAGACTGATGAGTGTGTATAATATCCCGCGAGTACTCAGGGTCAAATCCCGCAAAGGGTGGGACTCCGGGGTCCGTGCAACACTTAGAATATTGCATCACTGAGACAAATCTCGCAATTTACCTCCCCTCTCATCAGACAAACATTCTCTCATCACTATTGCATGACAAGTGCAGCAAGAAAGAATTACCTGTGCAGTGGTCTTGTGCTTAGCCATTGCAATGTCTTTAAGTTGTGGGATCTCCAATAACCCAGGATTTCCCCATATGGCATCATTAGCTCCTAGAGGACTCCAAGCACTAACATAAACTCCTTTTTCTCTACAAAACTCTAATAGTTTAGCTTGCTGCCATGCAACACTCATCTCCACCTGCCCAAAATATAGAGTATGAAATGAAAAAGGTAGAAATTCAAATTGGACTTTGATATATTAGTATATTACTACATGTATCTTTGATACACAAAGTATTACATTTGACTGTATATATAATTTTGTCTAACAATTATAGGGTGGAATTTTTAAAAAAATTGTTTTCTCAAATTAAAGATTTTCGTGGGACCCATTGAATGAGAAAAAAGTATAACAGAATGCTGCGGACTGAGGTGCATGTTCCTACCACGCCTAGCAGGCACGTGCATTGCACGCGCCAGCTAAGTGCATAATTATGTCTGACAAATTTTTTTTTTCATCCCTTTATCTTACATGGCAGATAAAAGAAACCCAAAAAAACTCAATTGATGAGGATACTCTAACGTTGAGTTGTACCTAGTCATGTTGGTTTGGAATACCTACAAGGTTTTATTAGATATAAAGGGGAAATGAATTGTAATTCGGTTGGAAAAGAATAATGTGAGAATAAAGTAGAAATTACAATTATATTGTTTGGTAAGAAGGATAATGAAAATGGGAGAAGTGATATAAAGACTAAAATACCCTTGTGTAATAATATATTAATAATAACATTTAAGGACAAACATGTTATTTCCTTCCTTTTTCCCTTGTCATTGTATGGATGAATTCATTGAATTGCAATTCACAGGGGGCCTATGAATTGCAGTTCCATGAATTTAGGGAATTGCAATTCCCTCCAACCAAACAATGTCGGTTATCATTTCATTGAATTACAATTCAATGCCAATGCAATTCATGCCAACCAAACACCGCTTTCTATACCTGATTAACAGCCGGAGGAATGGTAGCATTCTGGAGAAGCTGTGAGATCTTTGTTGATGTGAAATTAGACACACCAATAGACTTAGCTAAATTTAAGTTGCAACACTCTTCCATTTCTTCCCATGTCCCTTTCATGTCAAAAGGAACAACATTTTCTGTTTTAATCTCAAAGCTCTCCGCAGCATCCTTCACTCTTAGTGGCCAATGTATTAGATATAAATCCACATAATCTAGCCCCAGCCTCCTATATTAAAAGAAAATGGAAGTTTTGATATATAAACCACAAAGAAGTAGTTTAGATATAACTACTTCTTTTAGTTGCAGGCACATAGTATATTAAATGCAAGCACATCAGTTTTAGACCGGACTCTATAATGCAAGATAAACCCGGGTCCAAGACAACTTAGACTCGACAAATTATATTGTGAACCAGGCATTCTGGACCCTAATTCAATACACAGAATTTGATTTCATAATGTCCAGAATTCATGTTCATAATGCACAGAATTCATGTTCATAATACACATACATATAAACACGATATAATGAATATGAATTTTATGCATTATGAATATGAAATGTGGGTGTATTATGTTAAATGTTTATCTATTCTCAATTATATAATACACAGAATTCATGTTCGTAATACACAGAATTCATGTTCATTATATCGTGTTTATGTATATGTGTATTATGAACATGAATTCTGTGTATTGAACCAGGTCCATGATATAACAATTGCCTAGAGGCCCTAGACTCAGACCTGGGTCGGTTAGGTTAGAGATCTGGGTCATGCACAGGCATGGGCCTGGGCTGATTTTGAGCTGGACTCCAGGTTTTTTTTTTTTTTTATAGAACTTAAACCGGCCCTCTTTAAGTCGGTTCAAGTTTGGACTAAGCCAAACTTAGACCCAATGAAACTCAAATTCGCTCTTTATTTTTTCGACCCAGTTCAAGGTTGCCTGGTCCGACCTTGAACCAGTCCCGGCAAATTATTGTGTGGGCCATGGTCTACACAATGTTATGTGAACCATAACAAAAAGTACATTTTTGATATACTAAATGTACATTATTTTTGTACTGAATCTATATTACACAATATAATGTACAATCAGAACAAAAATAATGTACATCCCCTAAATACAATGTATATTATTTTTGTACTAAATGTACATTTTTTATACTGAATGTACATTATTTTACAGTAGACAGAATATGATCCACACAATTTGTATGGACCATGATGATTGACCAGTCCCTGGTCACCTCTAATTCATATCTCAAATAAAAAGGAAAAAAGAGAATTGAAGGAAATTTACTCCAATGATCTCCGAAGGGCTGGAACTACAAGATGAGGGTCAGTCTCTGAGCACCATAGCTTAGTACTGATGAAGAGATGGTCACGGCTGGGAACAAGTCCACGGTGGAGCGCGGTGGCTACGGCACGGCCCAGGGCCTCCTCGGAGCCGTAGATGGGGGCGGTGTCGAAGTGGCGATACCCCATCTCTATGGCGTGAATAAAGATGGATGTCAACTGGTCCGGGTCTGGAAGCGAGGGAGACGCAGTTCCCATGGCTAAAAGGGGCATTTGGTGACCGGAATTAAGCTTCGCCTTTGGGACTTGAATCACTTCCTCCATATCTTCAAAATTCAAAAATGGTGTCTCTGCTTTTTACTTTTGGGTCTGATCTATCTTCAGCCTAGTAGATCTTGCAGATGGGAAATCTTGCTTTGTAGAATAAGTCAAGTTTGTGGACCATTTTTAAATCTTTAAGGGGGCGCTTGGTTCACGGAATTTTGGATTACCCTAGGTAATAGGATTACCTCTAGGAAGATAATGTGAGATGTTGGGAATGTAAGATTACCTTGTGTGTTTGGTTTGGATGGGTAATATAATATTACCTTGTTGGTTCAATGTTATATTTTAGGTTATATAGACCAATTTACAATAATGTCCTCAATTTATATAATGTGTGTGTGTTTATTTATATGTATAAATGTATATCAATGCTTAAATATTAAAATATATATATATATATATATATATATATATATATATATATATATATGTATATTTGATTATATAAACATATATTAATTTCATTATTATTATTATTATTATTATTATTATATAAGGATTAGTTAACAATGGCAAAGTTGGAATAATTCAAGGTAATCTAAGATTACCTAAAAAAATGGGGGTAATCACATTACCTTGAAACATTACCGCCACATCAGCTTTCAGGTAATATAACATTACCATGTAATCTTATAACTTGAACCAAACAAGGTAATATAACATTACCAGACTCAGATTACCTAGGTAATCTAAAATGACCTGAACCAAATGCCCCCTAATTATCACTTATAATATATACTTTTATTTATTTATTTATTAAGGAGTTTTTTCTTTTTCTTTTTTTTTTTTACAAGAGAACTCGCAGTTATTATTCGTACCGTTGTTTGTATAGACCGCTCAACGGGTCACACAATAAAATTTATCAAAAGAACTAAGATCGAGACCTTGTGCATAGTGATTAAAAATCTTGTCTCTATAAATCAATTGAGTCATCATAAGACCTTTACAATCCCGTGGATCCACGCAAAGGTGGGTGGTTCCACCTTGAAGTATTAATTTTAATCAATTAATGTATCACTAGTTCACTATTACTTTTATGCAATGATCGAAATGAACAGGAAAAATATAAAATATAATAGTACTAATTTGTTAAAAACTTTGTGAGCAAACAGCATAACTGTAGCTCTCCTAAATAGGAGGTTATAAATTTTTACCTCCAGTATGAGCATTAAAGTATTATAAACAAAAACTACAACCAAGATTATGTGGTCTAATGGTATCTGAGTTGGACTTCCATTTCAAAGGTTGTGAGTTTGAGCTTCGGTGGAGGCTTTATTGACTCTTTGTGTTTCAGTAGGTGTAGGTTGAAAAAGTATATCAGGGTTCACAATTCAAGATCTTACAATATCAAAATATAAAGAGTTAATACCCAAAATTGTCCTCAACTATAGTGGTTTTTCTCAATTTCGTCCTAAACGACTTTGGTGACCTAATATCGTCCCAGACTTTTGTGTTTCGCTCAATTTAGTCCTCCATTTGTTATTCCGTCAAATTGGTGTTAAATAAAGGGACAATTCAGTAATGTCAATATTGATCTCTCTTTACTTTCAACTTATGAAGTGCAAAATTCCTCTTTCTTGTACGAATTACACCCAGAATTACTCCCGGACCTGCAAATCAAATTTTATATTCGCAGTTTTAGGAGTAATTCTGGGAGTAATTCGTAAAAAAAGGGATTTCGCAGTTCACATGTCTATGATGCCAATATTAAAATTACTGAATTGTTTATTTATTTAACACCAAATGGACAGAATAACAAATGAGGGACTAAATTGAGCAAAAATACAAAAGTCTGGGACGATATTAGGTCACCAAAGTCGTTTAGGACGAAATTGAGAAAAACCACTATAGTCGAGGATGATTTTGGGTATTAACTCAAAATATAAAATAAAAAGTATTGTAGTTCAACTTGACAAACATGTAAATATAGTGTTCTTCCAGCTAGCCATGGTTGGTAGAGAAATGATTATTTAGATGTCTCCATCCCATAATTCCTCCACAGATTTGTATGGACCATTGGAATGAACAAACTCATCTCCTTTAAATCCTCTTCGCTGAGGTATTTGTTGAATCTTAGCAATTTCATCTTCTTCAAGTTTCCAATTAAAGATTTTAAGATTTTCTTTCATCCTTTCATTGTTAAAACTCTTCACAATTACACATGCTCCTTCTTGATGTACCCACCTCAATGCAACCTATACATACATACGTACATGGGTTTTAATTTGAAGAATATATAATATATAAGTAGTACTTAAACAAAACATGAAAAATGTATATAAAAAAACAGACAAAATTGAAGGATTAAGAGAAAAATGTATAACAAGCTAAGTCAAACAATGAATTAAGAGGTATTATTACTTCGTTTTCATCTTTTGGTTTTTTCTGTCGAGGGTGGTAATTGTTCAGTATGACTTCATGTTTATTCTTTTTTTTTTTTTTTATTCGTTGGAGTATGCTTTTAATTAATTAGATTTGTTGATAAATCTGTGATTTTAAGAGAGTGCATCATAGGCTTTTGAGCTATGCATAAGTATGCTGTATACAAATTGTACATTGCCAATTAACTATTGCAATGTATACAAATTGGAAGTACAAATTTTTTTCCATCTAAAAATATACTCTAAAAATGGTATAGTCATTCAACCTCTTCACTACATTTGTCCAATGTTATCAACCTAAATTCTATTGTAGATCTAATAATCACGATTTGTTTTGAGAATTTCTATGACACATTTAATTTGCATCGATTAATGTAAATACATAGCCACATATGAACTTAAACTCCTTAATGTCAGATATCTAATTAGCATCAATATACCCTTCTAGTATAGCTAGATTCCTAGTATAGTACAACCCAATGTCACAATTATACCTTTACTATCTCATCACCCTTACAATTCCCTTCTACTCTTCTAGTGATCTCACCAAGATTACTAGGATATCTACTAAGCTTGCTAGACCACGTAGGCAGTGTCTATCCTAGTAAAACTCATTAGATACATTAAATTTCTAATGATTCTAGCGCATTTTACTTTAAAAATACACTCCCAATGTTTTTACAGTGTTGTAAAAATCACGCCTAAGTGTTACGCGCTGGTCAACTGCCTAATGTATTATCATGATCGGTAGTCTAGGCAGCTGAGTAGGTCACCTAATTGCCACTTAGTTATTGTTCCATTTTCTTTTGTTTTTTTTTTAAAAGAAGCTATTTCGCTCAAAACGATGTCATTTTGAGCGAAATATATAACCTTAAATTTTTTAAACTATAAATATTTTTTAGGTTAATATTTAATATTTTAATATTAACTATTAAAGTATTAAATATTTTATAATTATCAAGTCTTTAAAAAATATAAAAAACAAAACAAATTTAAAATAAAAATAAAAATAAAAAAACGAGGGCCTTGGCGCCCTAGGCGCTAGGCGTTCCTCAAACGCTCGAGGAGCGCCTAGCAATTTTTCAACCATGATATTTTGATAGATAATATTAGTATCTAATGATGTCCTAGCCAAACCAAGTTTGGTTGGCGTGAGTGGCCGTGTCCTCTTTGGTATGAAAAAATCAATCTAGCCAGCACTTTGCCCCTTAATTGAGCCGGTCAGATGTGATTGGGGATTAATTTGAGTATGATACGGATTTAAAGGTGTCTCGTACAGTTAGGACTTGCTCAGGATACTTCAGGTCTTGACCAAAAAAAATGGTGTCCTAAACAAAATTATTAATTATAAAGAAACTCTATGCGTGTGAGAAGGAGAAAGAATTACCTGTGCAGTGGTTTTGTGCTTGGCCATTGCAATATCCTTAAGTTGTGGGATCTCCAATAAGCCAGGGTTGCCCCATGGGGCATTATTAGCTCCCAGAGGACTCCATGCACTAACTTGAATTCCTTTTTCTCTACAAAACTCTAAGAGTTTAGATTGCTGCCATGCAACACTCAGCTCCACCTGTCAAAATTATATATTATCAAAAAAAAAAAAAAAAAAGAGTTAATTCTATTTTTGCCCTAAATTATAGATGAGATTCTACTTTTAATCTTTTTTTTTTTTTTTTTTTTTTTAAAGAACATTCCTTGTTGGTCATAGTATTATTATATTTTGATCATTTTCGGTGCACCGTCAATAAAATTATATACTTCTGCTCAAATGCGGTTGCACCTTAACGTACTGTCGGTGCGGCTGCTTAAAAAAAGGTACCAATAGTATTAGGAAAATACACAACTATGAAATGCATAAATACCCCACAAAACACACAACACACCCAAAAAAATGCACCATACCTCCCCACACCTAATTGTGCATCTCCGAACACTGTGTGATACTTTTATGCATACCTAATCACTGCTGGAAATTATGGAATTTTCGACCAAAAGTGATCTTAAATCAAGTCAAAAGCCTTATTCCGACCACTTTTGGTATCTGGAAAAACCTTTGCGACTATTTTCGACCACTTTTTGCTTTCGACTTGATTTAAGATCACTTTCAGGTGGTCGGAAATTCCATAATTTCTAGCAATGATGATGTGTTTTTGGTGATGCATACCTAATGGTGCATTTTTTTTTTTTGCATTTCCTAACATTGTTGTGCATATTTGTATAATTATTGGTACGGCGCACTGACCGCATGTTAAGACGCGGCTGCACTTGAACTAAGGTCTATATATATATATATATGTGTGTGTGTGTGTGTGTGTGTGAAATTGATGAACATGCAAATTAATTAAGTAATAATTACCTGATTAACAGCAGGAGGAATGGTAGCATTGTGAAGAAGTTGTGAAATCTTTTTTGAAGTAAAATTAGAAACACCAATAGACTTGGCCAAACCTAACTTGCAACAATTTTCCATTCCTTCCCATGTCCCTTTCATATCAAAAGGAACAACATTTTCTGTTTTGAAGTCCAAGCCCTCAATACTATCCTTTACTCTGAATGGAAGATGTATCAGATATAAATCCACATAATCTAGTCCCAACCTCCTGTATTAAAACAAAAATACAAATTATTACATATAACTCACGATAAATATTTTTTATATAGTTCTTTCATTTAATCACCTAAAAGAAATAAATAATTCAATGTTTAAATAAATATACAACATTCAATTTTTTTTTTTTTTTTATAAAACAAAACTAGCAAAAGTTAGCATATTGATTTTGGGCTAAAATTGACATTCCTGAGTGGAGAATGGAGATAGCATGGGGGCGAGTTATGTGAGTTCAATCCCACGCTAAACCGCAAATTATTGTGTGAACCATGGTCCATACAGTGTTATGTGGAGCATAACAAAAAGTACATTTTTAATATACTAAATGTACATTATTTTTGTACTAAACGTACATAATAAAATATAATGTACACTCGATACAAAAATAATGTAAATCCCCTGAATACAATATACATTATTTTTGAACTGAATGTACATTATTTTACAGTATACAAAAGATGGTCCACACAATTATAATTGAGGCTAAATGGGTCGGGCCGAAATTTACTCAAGCCCAACCCACCTTAAAGCGGGCTAGATGGATCCAACTCGTTGAGTTGAACTCATTTTTGACATTTCTATATAAATTTAATAATGTTTCCTAAGGGGGTCAAAAGGGCAAGCAAATTATTTTGTGGACTCGGATATAAAAATACACAATTTATATACTGAATATTCATAATTTGCATACTGAATGTTCATAATTTTTATATACTAAATGTTCGCAATTTACATACTGAATGTTCACAATTTACATACTGAATGTACACAATTTACACTACTAAAGCTTCACAATTTGAATATAACTAATCGAAAACTAATTTGCAGGGAGTAGAAAAAAAAAATTTGCAAGGAAATTTAATTTACCCAAGCGATCTCTTGAGGGCTGGAACAACAAGATGATGATCAGTCTCTGTGCACCACAGCTTAGTAGTGATGAAAAGCTCATCACGACTCGCAACCAGTCCACGCTCGACTGCGGCGGCTACGGCCCGGCCCAGGGCCTCCTCGGAGCCGTAGACGACGGCGGTGTCGAAGTGACGGTAGCCGATCTCTATGGCGCGAATAAGGGTTGATGTCAACTTTTCTGGGTCTTGAGGTGAGGTAGAAGAAGTTCCCATGGCTAAAAGGGGCATTTGGTGACCAGAATTAAGCTTCACCTTTGGGACTTGAATCACTTCCTCCATTTCTCTGCTTTTGGGTTTTGGTCTGATCTTCTGCCTAAACTGAAGCCTGAAGGGGATAGATAAGAAAGTCTTCTCTTCTGCTGCAGATAATGGAGCTTTGAACTATGCGAATTCAACCTTTAATGGTCTCCCAGTCAAATGAACTATATACGTGCTTCTCTTTTATTAGTTAGTAATCTTTAATGATAAGGATGAAATGTCACCATTTTTATTAATAAAATTATATTATATCATAATCAGGTGAGAACTATGTTTCAGGCAATAACATGCGGACAAATCCAAACCATTGATGTAGTAAATCTAACGGTTGAGAATATATAAACAAACTTTGTAATATTTATGAAAATATCCCCGTTCATTTTAAATTTTTGTAATAATTATGATTATGAAAATAATACCGTTCATTTTTTACTTAGATTTTCCATTCATAAAATCTTGCTGATCAAAGGTTTAAATTTGTCTACAAATTCTCACCGAAGGGTTGTCATATGTTTAGATTATATAACAGAACATTACAATTTCTAAATTCAAAGTGTATTATGACAATTATGAGTAAATGCATTATTGGCTGATTTGAATTGTCTCTAAGTACTACGCAGCTCATAGTTGACAAATTCCAACAAAATATGATACCAGCATTTGGCAACTAACTATTAGTTGATAACAAATAGCTAATTATGTTAGCATATAACAAAAAGTTAATTGTATTAGTTATTTTGACAAGTAGATGGTATTAGCTTTTCTTTAAAAAAAAAAAATGTTTGATGAATAACATGTAAAATGACTTTAAAAAACATAAATTTATTATTTATTTATTGAACTATACTTAATTTATTCTTTAATTAATTTTGTTTTAGATATCAATTTTAAAATATTATGTTGTTGTTGTTGTTGTTTAAAAAAAATTGTTTTAATAATAATAATAATAATAATAATAATGGAGAATATACTTGCCATATTTTCTATCTAGAAAAGTTCCAATATATGACCAATAAGAGGGTTTTTTTTTTTTTTTTTTTTTTTTTCAATTAGGCTTCTCCATCAGTTTGATAAAAATAAAATAAAAAATGTTACTCCGTATTAACTTTTGTCTAAATAAGAAGTGTATAATATGGCACTTAAGCCAATACCTAACTCCACCACAAAAATTAGGTCATGTACCAAGTAGCTCTTTTCTCCTTTGGATGACTTCATTGTGGACTTTAGCCCTTTCCGACCACATTTCGGCTTCTCAATAAGAGCATCAAATGATACAGCACTCAAGCCAAGACCCTAACTCTACCACAAAAGTTAACTCAAGAGTAGAATTTGATCCAAGCTTAAAGTACCACTCCACAATCTCTTGTGGAGCCAATATGTGATCATATCAGTGTACGTACGTAGTAACTGTTTAACAATTAAAAAATGTTTCTCAAGATTTTAAAAAGGTTGAATTTAAAAAACATTAAAAAAGATTATTTATAGTAATAAATAAACTCCATAAACACCTTGTAGCTAGGCTTGTCGCCTAGCTAATACATCTGACATTGGAAGAAGAAAACAACACTATTGTGGTTCAATTTAACAAACAACAAGATATAAATATAAAATTATTATTCTTCCAATAATCATTATTGATTATGATTTAAAGATGCCATATATATATTTTTCAGATGTCTCCATCCCAGAGTTCCTCTACTGATTTGTATGGTCCATTTGGATGAACGAAAATATGTGCTCTAAATCCTCTGCGCTGTGGTATTTGTTGAATCTTGCCAATTTCTTCTTCTCCAAGTTCCCAATTGAAGATTTGAAGGTTTTGTTTCATCCTTTCTTTGTTAAAACTCTTTACAATTGGACATGCTCCTTCTTCATATATCCACCTCAATGCAACCTATATACATAGGTTTCGAATATTGTAATTTATGCACTATCGTAATATGCCAATTATCAATATCACTCCTGAATTATTAGTAGTATACGTGTAAATGCTGCCCCTCAATTTTCAATATGATACATATATTGTTCCTCCCGTAGTGTAAATGTTGCCGTTCAATTTTCCTCTCAGCTCGTACAGTACGGGAGAGACAATATATGTACTATTTTAGAAAATTGAGGGTGACAGCTCGAATATATATATATATATATATATATATATATATATATATATATATATATATATATATATATATATATATATAGGGTTGAGTTCACATGAGAACCACAATATATAGAGGACTGTGCGAATTGATTACGGGCACACAACAAATTAGTATCATGCACACAATTTAATACACAATGACACATAAGAATACATGTAAATATCAGGTTTCAAACCTAGGCTCTATTAATTAACAAACCTATGCACACGACTATATTAGGCCAGACACACGATATACAGACTAATGGCACACGACTACACCAGTTCGCACAGTCCTCTATAATATAGTGATCCTCATTTGAACTCAAGCAAGAAAGAATTACCTGTGCGGTGGTCTTGTACGTAACAGGGTCAGTAACACTCAAAAAAAAAAATGAAAAATTACCTGTGCAGTGGTCTTGTGCTTAGTGATTGCAATATCCTTAAGTTGTGGGATCTCCAATAAGCCAGGGTTTCCCCATGGGGCATCATTAGCTCCCAGAGGACTCCATGCACTAACTTGAACTCCTTTTTCTCTACAAAACTCTAAGAGTTTAGATTGCTGCCATGCAACACTCATCTCCACCTGTCAAAATTATAGTATTATCAAAAAAATTAAAGTATAAACTAGAATGGAATTACATGAATCTTCAATATATGAAGTATTATATGTTAGTGGTGAATAAGTAGATACACCAAAAATAATATATATATGTATATATACCTGATTAACTGCAGGAGGAATGGTAGCATTCTGGAGAAGCTGTAAAATCTTTGTTGATGTGAAATTAGACACACCGATAGACTTAGCCAAACCTAAGTTGTAACATTCTTCCATTCCTTCCCATGTCCCTTTCATATCAAAAGGAACAACATTTTCTGTTTTGATGTTTGCATCCTCTACAGAATCTTTCAATCTCAGTGGCCAATGTATTAGATATAGATCCACATAATCTAGCCCCAACCTCCTATATGAAAAATAAAAATTAAAGTTAAATATATATAAATCATAAACAAAAATAGTAAAAGCAAAAGAAAAACAGCTAGCTAGGGATGAAATAGACTTAATCCCATGTCTTAGTTGTCAATTCTAAATTTAGTCTCAGACTATTGTTTTTATCATTCAACATTTCAACATCCCAGACTATTATTATTTTTTGACACTTTTAGCCATTCTCACGATTTTTTTCTATTTTTAGTAAGGGCATTTTTGTCTCTTCATATTTTTATTTTGTTATTTTTTTCTGATTTCAACCGGTTTAATTTGTTTAGGACTTTACTAAAAACAAGTTAAAAAATAGAGTTAATTAACGATTTGGTCCCTCAATTATTAGCAAACTGCCAATGTAGCCTCAATTGCTAATTCATCGATTTGGTCCCCGAAAACAATTATTTTTAGTCGATTTAGTCCGTCCGGCCGCCGATTTGATCCCCGAAAATAATTATTTTTTGTCGATTTAGTCCATCCAGCCGACGACAGAAGACGGTCTGAGGGACTAAATCGATTAAAACTAATTATTTTCCAGGACCAAATCGATGAATAACCGATTGAGGGATTACATTGACAGTTCGCTAATAATTGAGAGACCAAATCGTTCATTAACTCTAAAAAATATGGTTTTTAAAATCAGAGATTACATAAAGTCTTAAACAAATTAAATTGGTTGAAACCAACAAGATAACAGAAGAAAAATATGAAAAGACAAAAACACCCTTACTAAAAAACTAAAAATATCCTAAAAATAATAGTTTGAGATGTTAAATAACAAAAACCATAGTCTGCCACTAAACTTGGAGTTGTCACCAAAGACAAGGGACTCGATAAAATATTACCCCAATGATCTCCGAAGGGCTGGAACGACAAGATGACGGTCATTCTCCGAGCACCATAGCTTGGTAGTGATGAACAGTTGGTCGCGGCTGGCAACAAGTCCCTGCCGGACTGCTGCGGCCACGGCACGGCCCAGCGCCACCTCGGTGCCGTAGACGGTGGCGGTGTCGAAGTGGCGGTAGCCCATCTCTATGGCGTCGATAAAGATCGACGTCAACCGGTCCGGGTCTCACTACTGGAAATTATGGAATTTCCGACCACCTGAAAGTGATCAAAAATCAAGTCAAAAGCCTGGTTCCGACCACTTTTGGTATCCGGAAAAACCTTTGTTGCTATTTCCGACCACTTTTTGATATCAACTTGATTTAAGATCACTTTCAGGTCGTCGGAAATTTCATAATTTCCAGTAGTGTCTGGAAGCGAGGTTGACCCACTTCCCATGCCTAAAAGAGGCATTTGGTGACCGGAATTAAGCTTCACCTTTGGGACTTGAATCACTTCCTCCATGTCTCTGATTATAGTTTTCTTAGCTTGGTTTATTAGATAATTATGAATGAATGAAGCTGTTATATTATTGCTTAATTTATAGGGATAAATCTTGCTTTTGTTAGAACAATTTCAAGTCAACTATGCGCTTCGATCTCTTTTAGTTTATTATTACTCTTATATGTTAGACAGAAACATGTGGACCACCATGTACTAAATTTAATTTATCTAATCTTTGTATACTCATAATAATATTAGATTTAACTAATCCAGTACAACATGTATTACTAACACTTCTTTAAGCGGGAGCCACCACTTATCGTGATTGAATTAGTTGGAGAGGTAAGCTGTACAACAGTACAAGCCAATTGAATGTCTTAGGAACTAACAAAGATCTTGGCTGGTGATACTCAACAAATTGCAACCACTCTCTTGTCTCATAAGTTTGTTTCAATACTCCACAAGGTTGATGAAGTCACAGCAGATATGGGCCAATTAGATGTAATTGGTGACTTTATCATGCAAGAATCAATTTTACAGTGGTATCGATTCCAGCTGAGTAAGTATTCTTGTTTTACATAATGTTGGCTTTGTTGCTCAGTGACAATCTGTATGTGGATTAAAGCCTAGCAAAAGCTTCATAAATTAATCATTAATTTTTTTTTTTATGTATTAATCATGTACTAAATTTAATT